GTCTGTGGCTTGCAAGTCATGCCCCAACCAGCGGCGAGATTTGACAGAATGGAAAGAAAGCAAAGAAGCACAACTCAAATCAACCGAAAGCACTTGAGAGGCAGGGTTCAAGGAGGCGAAAGACTTAGCTGAAAGTTGGAGCAGTGGTGGTGGAGGCGGAGGGGGTGCCTTGATACAGAGTGGGCGCGACAAAGAGCAGTGAAAAATGGAGTGTAATGCATGGTGCAAGCATGACAAGCAAAGCAACACAGTGCAAGGGTTGGGAGAAGAGAGGAAGGGCGGGGTACTTAGCTGTGGGTGAGTTGGGTGGAGAGCAGCTGCTGCCTGTGCACTCCATGTCCCCCGCCACTGCCACTCCCGTGTGAGCGACCTGCTGGGAACAGAAGGGGCCAGACCGGGACAGAGATAGGAAGGGAGGAGGGGGGGAGGAAAACGGGGGAGTGAAGGGGGGGAAGAGGAGTGGAGAGAGCAGTGAGGAAAGTAGCAAAGAGTGAAGTGAGAGCGAAGGGTGCAACAAGTGCTAGAATGATGCATGCATGAATGGACTGCTGCAGTGGCACACCCAAGAGACCTCATACCGGCTGAACCAAAGTAAACGAATACCTGAGGCTGTACCAAGAAAAAGATACCTACTACCTTGGGGGAGGGAGGTCTAATGGGTGTGACAAAGAGCAGTGAAAAAGGGAGTGTAATGCATGGTGCAAGCACGACAGGAAAAGCAAGACAGTGCGAGGGTTGGGAGAAGAGAGGAGCGGGGTACTTAGCTGTGGGTGGGTTGGGTGGAGAGCAGCTGCTGCCTGTGCACTCCATGTCCCCCGCCACTGCCACTCCCGTGTGAGCGACCTGCTGGGAACAGAAGGGGCCAGACCGGGACAGAGAGAGGAAGGGAGGAGGGGGGGAGGAAAACGGGGGAGTGAAGGGGGGGAAGAGGAGTGGAGAGAGCAGTGAGGAAAGTAGCAAAGATTGAAGTGAGAGCGAAGAGTGCAGCAAGTGCGAGAAATATGCGTGCATGAATGGACTGCTGCAGTGGCACACCCAAGAGACCTCGTACCGGCTGAACCAAACAAAAACGAATACCTGAGGCTGTACCAAGAAAACGATACCTACTACCTTGGGGGAGGGAGGTCTAATGGGTGTGACAAAGAGCAGTGAAAAAGGGAGTGTAATGCATGGTGCAAGCACGACAGGAAAAGCAAGACAGTGCGAGGGTTGGGAGAAGAGAGGAGCGGGGTACTTAGCTGTGGGTGGGTTGGGTGGAGAGCAGCTGCTGCCTGTGCACTCCATGTCCCCCGCCACTGCCACTCCCGTGTGAGCGACCTGCTGGGAACAGAAGGGGCCAGACCGGGACAGAGAGAGGAAGGGAGGAGGGGGGGAGGAAAACGGGGGAGTGAAGGGGGGGAAGAGGAGTGGAGAGAGCAGTGAGGAAAGTAGCAAAGATTGAAGTGAGAGCGAAGAGTGCAGCAAGTGCGAGAAATATGCGTGCATGAATGGACTGCTGCAGTGGCACACCCAAGAGACCTCGTACCGGCTGAACCAAACAAAAACGAATACCTGAGGCTGTACCAAGAAAACGATACCTACTACCTTGGGGGAGGGAGGTCTAATGGGTGTGACAAAGAGCAGTGAAAAAGGGAGTGTAATGCATGGTGCAAGCACGACAGGAAAAGCAACACAGTGCGAGGGTTGGGAGAAGAGAGGAGCGGGGTACTTAGCTGTGGGTGGGTTGGGTGGAGAGCAGCTGCTGCCTGTGCACTCCATGTCCCCCGCCACTGCCACTCCCGTGTGAGCGACCTGCTGGGAACAGAAGGGGCCAGACCGGGACAGAGAGAGGAAGGGAGAAGGGGGGGAGGAAAACGGGGGAGTGAAGGGGGGGAAGAGGAGTGGATAGAGCAGTGAGGAAAGTAGCAAAGAGTGAAGTGAGAGCGAAGAGTGCAGCAAGTGCAAGAATGATGCGTGCATGAATGGACTGCTGCAGTGGCACACCCAAGAGACCTCGTACCGGCTGAACCAAAGTAAAACGAATACCTGAGGCTGTACCAAGAAAAAGATACCTACTACCTTGGGGGAGGGAGGTCTAATGGGTGTGACAAAGAGCAGTGAAAAATGGAGTGTAATGCATGGTGCAAGCACGACAGGAAAAGCAACACAGTGCGAGGGTTGGGAGAAGAGAGGAGCGGGGTACTTAGCTGTGGGTGGGTTGGGTGAAGAGCAGCTGCTGCCTGTGCACCCCATGTCCCCCGCCACTGCCACTCCCGTGTGAGCGACCTGCTGGGACGAGAGGGGGCAGATCAAGACAGAGAGAGGAAGGGAGGAGGAGGGGGGGGGGGAGGAAAACAGGGGAGTGAAGGGGGAACAACAATGAGGAGAGAAGCTAAGACGAGAGGAGTGAAGTGAGAACAAAGAGTGCCGCAAGTGCAAGAATGATGCATGCATGAATGGACTGCTACAGTGGCACACCCAAGAGACCTCGTACCAGCTGAACCAAACTAAACGAATACCTGAGGCTGTACCAAGAAAAAAGATACCTACTACTACCTTGGGGGAGGGAGGTCTAATGGGTGTGACAAAGAGCAGTTAAGTGGGGTGTATGATGCATGGTGCAAGCACGACAGAAAAAGCAACAGTGTGAGTGGAGGGAGGAGAAGGCACTTAGCTGACGGTTGAAGAAGCACCGAGAGCTGCTGCTGCTGCTGCAGCTGCTGCTCACCCCCACGCCAACGGGAAGCACATCCGAGCAATCTTTCGCCGTGCGACCAATCGCGGACGACGACGGTTTCGCCGTGCGACGACGCGCAGGCGACGATTTCGCTGTGCCTCGACGCGCGGACAAAGATTTCGCCGTGCCTGGACGCGAGGACGACGGTTTCGCCATGCGACACCACGCAGTCGACGCTTTCGCCGTGGTAGGACGTGTATACGACGATTTCGTCTTGTTACGACGCGCGGACGACGATTTCGCCGTGCGACTACGCGCGGACGATCTCGAAAGCGTGGTGAGTCGCATCTGAACGCTGGCAATAACGGGGAGTGACGAGATAGGTAACGAGTAGTGATAATGACGCAGCAAAGCAGCAAGAACGACGAGTCATAGGGACGAGAAATGCGATTGTGAAGACTCAACGGAGCTACAGGAATGACAGTCGTAAAAGCATCTCAATCATCGTGAGTCGCACCGAGTCATTTGCGGATATCGTTATGATGAGCGTGACCAGTGGACGGACGACGCAAGGAACGGTATTCGCATGAACGAGGAATTGCGTCGCCGCGACGGGAGGATCTGCCGAGCGTGTATTGGAAACAACAAGAGCGAACCGGGAAAGAATCATCTAAGATGTGCGACAGCGACGTGAAATCTGATCGACAATAGAATATCGCGTCGAAATGAAAACATTCGCACTATCGGAATGGAAGACTAACCTTGACGGGAGAACTACTCGAACATTATTGCTTCATCGCCGTCTCGACGGCACGGAGAAGACGAATCCCCGCCGGAAACGCTACCGTCGAAAACGCAGCGAGCGAGCGACCACAAGAAATTCGTCAACGAGGAAGGCAGAAATCGTTGCCACGGAGACCGTGACTAGCGGCCAGAACTAGTCGCGAGCACGTAGAAAACGTGGTGAGAGGTGAGATTGAAGCCGAGAGGCAATGCGAGACCGATAGGCAGTGCAGGCGAAGAGGTTTGGAATTGGGAGAGAGGAGATGGGCGGAAAGAGTTGCGCCGGTTGCTTTGCCCAACTTGGAGTGGGGAGGGGACTTCCCTGAACTGGAATCGAGATGATAGATGGCCATGTTGTGCTCGGTTGAGATGGTTGTAAAGTGGTTTGATTCTGCTGTGTGTCTGGCTCTTCCCAGTTTCCGCTCGGCCGTCACAGGAATGGTTCAGCACAGCCCAGAGTTATCCCAACCAATCCCGAGGTGGGCCAAGCGGCGGAGGAGGAAGCACCGCCCACAAGATTCGCCCGCGAATTTCCGCGAGCGCGCATCATTTTCAACAAACGGCCAAATGACGAAATGTGTGTGCGACGAGCGAAACAGCACTTGCGACGCAGTGGTTGTTTCGCTTGCCGGACAAAGCAGTCCCCTGCTCAAACTACAGACTTTTGCGAGACTCGCGAAAGTCGCCATGAACGTCGAGCCTGATGGTTTCGGCAAGGTTATCCGTCAAATATCGCGGGCTTGTGAATGCGCTGCCCCCAAAAGCCTGACACACCACGGAGAAGGCGCAGATTCGGGAGTTCTGCGGGTGGTTGGGCTGCTGCTCCAACGGGATGCCTACGGATGTTTGGGGAAACTTGGGGAAACTTCTGATTCGACATCCGCAACATCATCCAACAAGCTTCATGATTGTCTGAACTTATCCTGATCCGACGGACGAAATTAACTAAAACAGATCACCCCTGAGCAAAGTGATGTATCTTTCGAATAACCATTGCTAATTGGGAGAAGTTACACCATCCAAAATACAAAACTATATATGACGCAGAACATAATCTTTACTGCAAATAATGGACTGCTTCATTGTTCTCATTTACCCTGTGACTTGCACCAAGTCCATTTATAACAATGATTATCCTGGTTTTTTTTCCAGTCCTCTGTACACCGACCTACTCCCAGAATTGTCGTCACCCGAACTATGGTTTGCAGGATGCAATAATATCGCTGTACGATAATCAAGGCAGTGTGCCAAGCTTGCATTGAGTAAGACCTTCGTTGAATATTGCAGATGACTGTGTAGTAATTCATGCGGTAAGGGGAGGGATGTCATATCATATATAATATGAACTCTCAAGTCTCATTACTTCACTGATCTCGGCTCAATCAAGCTCTATCTACAGAACTCGTGTGCACTTTACCATTTCAGTAGAATCCTACGGTATTTGCATTCAACACCAATGCAGGCATACGGTAATGAGCATTCTCACCTGCAGAATCGGCGGCCAAATCCTTCTCTCCTTGCATCCAACCAAACCCAAACCTGCTCACACCAACTCAAACTTCTACAATTCCAGGGTCTTGCGGCTCTTCTTTTTCTTGGTTTTCTTCTTTCTCTTGGACCCCTCCGTAGCTTGTGTGCCATGGTTGCCAGCCGCACCGTCTCTCACCAACTCACTCTCTCCCTTTCCGTCGCTGCTTTCCCCACCACCACCTTCACCACCTGCCACATGCTGTTTCCCAACACCATCCACTGACCCCCCCACTCCTCCTTCCTCCTCCCCGACTCCTCCTCCTCCTCTTCTTCCTTGCCCCTCGTCCTGACGGCCAGGTCCTTCCTCCCCATTCCCCGCACCAGTCTTGCTGCCATCACCCTTTGACTCACCGTTTGTTGCGCCCTCCGTATTCTTGCTGCTTCCTCCCATCACATTCTCCTCTTCTCTCTGCTTCCCACTGCTCTTCCCTACCTTCTTCACCTTGCTTTTCGTCTTCTTCTTCTTCTTTTTATTTGTCTTTCCCATTGCCAAAGAATCCCCCACCTGGCTCTTGTCCCCTTCTTCCGTCTCTTGCTTCTCCGTCTTCCCACCTCCTCCTGTTGTTTCTAAATCTTCCCTCCGTTCCACACTCTCATGACCCAATTCTGCATCTGCTTTACCCACCGCATCCTTGCCCATGTCTACCTCGCCACCTTTGCTCTCCTCTCCTCCATTCCCATCCCCATGCTTACCGCTCAATTTCTCCTCTCCCTTGTCTCCGCCTGCCCCCTCTCCGCCTGCCTCCTCTCCACCTGCACTCACTCCCTCTGCTCCCTTTTCTTTCTCCCCATCACCGCCCTGTGGCTGCAACAAGCCAGCAGCGCCCGTGACAGCAGCTGGTGTGGTGCTGGGACCTGCAGCACTTGCATCCTGCATTGCAATATCTGTGTCTTTGCTGCTGCTGCTGCTGCTTCCTTCCTTGCTGCTGCTGCTGCTGCTGCCTGTCACGCTAGGAGCCACATCTTCATCCAACCCCTCTCCCCCAACCATCTCATCACCTGTAGCCTTAGAGGTCGTGCTCTTCGTTTTCTTCTTCTTCTTCTCCTTCTTCTCCTTCAGCTTCTTCTTCTTGCCTTTCGTCACATTCTCACGCTCCTCTTCCCCTCCTCCATTCTCCCCAACAGCAGCACCATCAGCACCAGCACCAGAAGCAGAATCACCAGATGCATTAGCAGCCAAGGCGACGGACCCATCAGCTGCAAAGTTCTCCGCACTTTCCCCACTCCCCTTCCCACCCTCTTTCGCAGCACCAGCAATGGCGGCACCAGCAATGGCGGCACCAGCAGCATCCCCACCAGCATTCTCTCTCTCGTAACCACCTGCCTCACCATCAGCACCTTGGTGCAAAGTAGTATCAGAGGAGTCCCCAGCAGTTACACTCGTGTTGCTGCGTACACTGCTGCTGCCAGCTGCTGCTGCTGTTGCTGCTGCTTCATCAGCTTCCACTGCAGCTCCAGCCACAGAAACACTTCCTGCTTCACCTGCCCCGACTCCTTCTCCTCCTGCTCCTCCCACTTCTGCGCCTGCCTCTGTCCCTGCTTCTGCTGTTTCTCCTGGTTTCTCAGGTGTGGCTCCTGCACCTATCGCCACCTCCCTGACTGTTGCACCCACCGCTTCCCGCATGCCCTTCCTTCCACCATTCACGTTGTCACTGCTCCCCAATCCACTCCCGTCCGTAGCCTTCTCAGCGTCCACCCCCTCACCACCCTTTCCTCCCACCAAACCCACCTTGCCCCGTCCCTCCTCTCTATCTTCCTCCCCCCTTTCTTCCTTCTCCTCCGTCTCTTTATTTGCCCCATCACCACCAGACTCTTGGTCTGTCCCACTCTTTCTTCCGACATCTTTCTTGGCTGGAGCATCACTTTCCCCTTCAGCATTCCCCTCCTCATCCTCCTTCCCTTCATCCTTCTTACCCCCACCTATCCCCTCGTCTTCCTTCTTAACAACCTCCTGCGTCTCCTCCTCCAGCCCATTTCCCTCCTCTTTCTCCTCCCCTTTTCCTTTCTCCCCCGCCTCCACATTTTCTTCCTTCTTCTCCTCCTCCCCTTCGTCCTCCTCCTTCACCTCCCCCTTTTCCTCCTCCTCCTTCATTCCTCCCTCTGTATCCCTCTCCAACTTCTTCCCCCTCGCATCATCACCCCCCTCACTCTCTTCCTCCACCCTTCCCTTCTCCCTCTTCGTTCCCATCATCCCACCCGTCCCCTTCACCTCCTTCTCTTCCTTCACCTCCCTGTCTCCTTCGCCTTCCTCCTCCCCCACAACACTTGCTTCCCCATGCCGCACCTTTCCCCTCGTACCAGCATCCACAAATGCACCACCCTGTTCAGAATCCGCATCTTCTTTCTTGCTGGCTCGTCCCTTCCCGCTCTTCGTCACCACCATACTCACATCCCCCCCCTCCTCATCCACCAGTTCCTGCCCTTTCTCTCTCGCTCCTGCCTGCTGCCCATCCTTGTCATGCCCGTCCTCCTCGTCACCCCCATCCTCCTGCTCCTCCCTCTTTCCATCCGCCTTCTCTCGGCCCGCTTTGCCCGGTTCCCCCTCGTCTCCATCCTCCGTATCCTCTGTTTCCCCTTTGCCACGCCTCTCCCCACCATTCTCCCTTTCCTCTCTCGCATCACCCCCCACCTTCCCATCACCTTCCTCCACCTCTTCCTCTCCTCCACCCCTAGTCCTCCTCACCCTCTTAATCACACTCCCCTCTCCACTCCCCTTCTCTTCTAGCTCTTCCCCTTGCTCTCCTCTCTCTTCCTTACCCCTTTTCCCCAACCCCTTTCCACCTTCACCCACACTTTTCGTCTCTTCTTCCCCATCCTCCTCTCCTCCGCGTTTCCTCCTCCCTTTCGCCTCGCCCATTCCCACCTGCCCCTCCCGCGCCCCCAGAATCTCCACGATGGGGTCCGCTACAGCAGCCTGATCGCCTTCCTCCACAATCTTCGCCTCCTCACCCACCTCCACGCGCATGCGCTGCACGCCCAGCTGCTCCAAATCATCCTCCCGTGCCACCTCCTTCCCTCCCTCCTTCTCCTCCTCCTTCCCCTCCTCCTTCACCTCCTCCTTTCCCTCCTCTTTCCCCTCCTTCCCCTCTTCCCTCTCCTCCTCCTTTGCTACTCCATTCTCCCTTTCTCCCGTCTCTTCTTGCTCCTCCCTACCCCCTTCATCCGATTCTCTCCGTGCTTCTCGCTTGGTTCCAACCCCTCCACTCTCGCCCTCCGCCAGTTCAACATCATCATCATCCCTTCGCCCTGCCCCCCTCCCTTCCTCACTCTCCTCACGCCTGCTCACACCCTTCCGTCCACCTCGCTTCATAGATCTCTTACTCACAGCGGCACCCTCACCCTCACCATCACCATCCCTTGCTGCCTCGTTCTCTCCCTCCCTCTCTTCCCCACTCTCTCCCCCGCTCTCTTCCTTGCTCTCTGCCTCACGGGCTTCCTCACCGTCTCCCTCGCTCTCTTCGTCTCTCTCCGTCTTCCTCACAACCCTATTCCTCGCCGCACCATGCTCAACACGCCCACGCTCGCCTTGCCCCCTCTCTCCCTCACCACCACCCTCTTCTGCTGCCTCCCCTGTCTCCCTCTCCTGCTCAGCCCTCCCCTTCCCACTCTCCTCGTCCGATTTCTCGTCCTGTGAACTCCCTTTCCTTTTCACCAATGCTTCTTTCTCCTCAACCTCACTACCTTCCATTTCTTTCGCACTCTCCTCCTCTTCGTCGGTAACCTTCCTTACCATTTTAACAACACTACTCCCTTCTTCATCCTCCTCTGCTTCCTCCGCCTTCCCTCCTATCCCCTTATCTTCTTCCTCGTATTCCCGCACCTTCCCCACCTTCCCCACCTTCACCCGCTCTTCCTCTTCCCCTCCTCCCCCCTCCTCTCTTTCATCCTCTTTCACTCTTCCCTCTTCTTTCTCCCTCTCTCGCCTCTCCCCATTTTCCTCATCCTTCATGCTTTCATCCTGTTCACCTCCTTCCTTCTCTTTCATGCCTTCTTCTCTCTCCGTTTCCTCGTCCACTTCCCATCTCGCTCTCCTGACTTTCTCTTTCCCTTCTCTCCTTCCCTTTCCGCTTGTATCCACACCGTCTCCCCTCCCCTCCCCATCCACCTCTCTCCCTACCTCCTCCCCTCCCTCTTCCTCCACCTCTCCGTCCTCATCCGATCGTCTTTTCCTTCCCTTCCTTCGCCCACCCACACGCACACCTCCCTCCTCACCGGCACCCTTCCCTCCGCCCACCTCTCCATCCTCATCTCTCCTCGCATCCTCGTCCCGCTCCTTCCCACCGTCCGCTCCCTCTCCCTCCTCCTCCTCCTCGCCACCAGCATCTCGAATCATCTCATCCATTTCATCGAGCTGTTGCTCCAGTGCCGCCAAGTCCTTATCTCCCACCCCAGATGCCCCTCTCCCTCCCTTTCTCGCCCTTACCTTCTTCCCCACAGTGCTACTCGAGCCAACCCGTCTCTTCTTCTTTCTCACGATGCCCTCTCTCCCCCTTTCTCCTCCCTCCTCCTCTCGCCTTCCATCACTCCCTCCCTCGCCCTCCAACTCATCTTCGATATCTCTCTTCCGGCTCATACTTCTAGTCCTCTTTCCTGCACGCAAAGACTTCAGCTCTCCCATCCCCTCCTCCTCTCCCTCCTGCTCCTCCACCTCCTCGCCTCGCCCACCTCGCTTCTCTCTCCTCCCACTCCCACGGACCTCCTCGTCCTCCTCCTCTCCCTCTACTTCACCCGTACTACTGCTCCTTCCTTTCCTCTTCTTAACCGCACTCTGCTCGTCTCCGTAGTCCTTGCCATCCTCTTCCATCTCCCCCCTCCTCCCACTGCCTCCTTCCTCCTCACCCTCCACTCCCTCATCTTCAAACGCCCGCTTTCTTGCTCGCTTTTCGCCTCCTCTTTTACTTCCACCTTCCTCTTTCTCCGCATCTCCCTCCTCCTCCCTTTCCCCCTGCTCTCTCCTCCCAACAGCCCTCCCTCCAAACCCTTCTCCGTGCTCTACTCTGCTCTCTTCCTCACTCTCCTCCCCGTCTCCCCTCTCCCCTTCATCCTCCACCACCTCTTCCACCTCCACACCCCTGCGCCTACTCTCTTCGTTCACCATAGCCCTCCTCTCTCCTTCCTCCTGTCCATCCTCCTCCTTCACCTCTCCCCCCTCTCCTATATCCCCATCGTACATGTCATTTTCAACCTCCTCCACCACTCTCCTCTCTCCTTTCCTGCTCTCCCTTTCCACAACTCTCTTCTTTCTTTTCACGCGCCTCTCACCGCCTCCCATCCCCATTATAAGCTCATCCGCTTCTTCCACTCCTTGCATCCCTGAGCCATCGTTCTCACGCACTTGTTCCTCACCCTCCTCATTCTCACCCTCCCTTTCCTCCGCACTCTCTCCCATGTCCCCACCTCTTCTTTCTGCAAACCCGTCCTTTCTTCTTCCCTCCCCCTCCCCCTCGTCTTCACCCTTCCCACGTCGTCCCCCACGCCCTCTTCTTACCTTCCTAACTTCCCCTTCTCCCTCCCCATACCCACCCTCCCCCTCCTCATTTCGCTCATCCCCATCCGGCTCCTCGCTCTCCTCTCTACCCTCCCCTCTCCCTCCTCTTCCTCCTGCAACCCCCCTTCCTCTCTCGTCCCCATCTCCCTCTCTCGCCCCATCGTCGACCCTCCCTCCTGCCTGCGCGTCATCAGGCTCAGGTACGTCCTCCCCCACATCACCCTCTGCCATATCCCCCTCCCCCACACCACCCTCAATGATCTCACCCTCCCGCACACCCTTCACCACCTCTGCACGCGCCTTCACCCTCTCGCTCGCCCCCTCAACATCCTCTCGATCCACTCTCTCCTCTTCCCCATGCGGTAGACCCTCCCTCTCTGTGTCTGCTCTCTCTCGATCCAACACGTCTTCCACCATGCTCCTCTCTGCGTCATCCCCATAATCGCCCTTGCCCAAGTCCCCTCCCATCGCCTCCTCCCCTGCGCTCTCCTCCCGCCCTCCCTCTCTCACTCGCTCCTCCCTCTCCTCCTCAACACCGTCCCTCCCCCCTCGACCCGGCTCCCCCTCTCCCCTCCTTTCGTCCACTTCCCTTATCTCTTCCACCCTCGCCTCCCCTCCCGTCATCCTTCCTCCCGCCTCCTCTCCCGCGATCACTTCCTCTCTTATCTCTACCATCGACCCATTCTGGTCAGCACCTTTATCAACCTCTCTTCGCTGCTCCCACTCTCCAGCCACCTCTCTCTCTTCTCCTTCACCCCTTCCTCGCATCCCCTCATCCCTTCCATACCCCTCCCTCTCATCCCCCTCTCTCCCCATTCCCGCCCCCCCCACCACTTCTCCCCCGACTGGCTCCGCCAGATCCACACCTCCCTCCCCCGGCCTTCTTCCCCCGCTCTCGTTCCCCCCGTCCCCTTCCCCGCCCACTCTAACACTGCCGTCCCCCGTCACCTCTCCTCCTACCGCCTCCCCGTCCCTATCGCCAAGCTTCGGCTCGTGCATTCGTGACAGACTATTCTTATCTACCTCGGCCTGATGCCCCAGCAGCAGCCAATACACGCCTCCAGCAAGGCCTAGCACCAGCAGCGCCATACACGCCAACGCGATCATCCGCCTCCTATTGCTGAAATATGTCAGAAAACCCCCTCTTGACACGTCGCTTCCCCCGCGACCCCGCCCCTCTATCCCCGTGCGCCCAGCCCCCACCCCCCGCACTGAAATACCCCTTTCTCCCCTCCCCCCGGATACCCCCTCCGCGTCTGGTATGTCATCCCAATCCGGCTCCCACCCCGCGCTCCCATCATCCCACCCCCCGAATCCCTCCTTTCCCCCGCCATCCCTCCCCTTCCCCGCGTTGCCCTGCGGGCCTGACCACCCCTTCCGCCCTGCCCCTCCCCCCAGCCCCACTCCTATCCCTCCCCCGCCTCCGGTCAGCCTACCACCACCTCCGCCAGTGCCCGCTTGTCCTCCCCGCCCCCCCAACTGCAGCGGGCGCGCGGAGGAATCTGGGCTGCGGCGGGGGGCCGCGGAAACAGGGTCCATCGGCGGAGAACCCCATGGGGAGGAGGGTGTGGGGGAGGCCGGATCGGCAGAGGAAGAATACCTTGCGGGGAAAAGGGCAGAGCGTGGAAAAGAAAAAAGAAAAAAAAAATTGTAACAAGGAACAGAGCGCATTACGAGGCTATAAACGCCGGGTGAGAACCACGATCCAAGCAACACGAGCCATTAACAGAGTCTCAGCAGGACGAGCGTCCGAGCGGGTGAGATCTCACACGATGAGATCTACGCGAAGGAGGCGGGAACCAGAGGCTGGACAAAGATCAGAGGGACCCGCGAGGCACGGGCGGCGCACGATGGCCTTTCAGCGTCAGGGTGTTCCCCGCGAGCCCCAGCGTTAGTTTAGAGCCCGACATTATGCAAAAGCGTTGGTCTTGATTGATGAAAAAATGTGCGAGGAATGGTACAGAGAGGATTAGACGTACTTGGCACGGCTGACCACCAGCTTGCTCTTCGGAGCTGGCTTTTTCGCGGCTCTGCGACCACCGTCCATCGAGAAGCGAGTTACGCCTTAAAGGATCAAGCGAATTCAGGACGATCGCACAACCAGGAGCTCGGCCTGCGGCGCCGTCGCGATCGTGCTACAACCGAGCCCGAATCCGGATGATGGTCATGCGTCGCAAACCCATTGTATCGCCGGCATGCGCTTTGTCAGCAAAAGATCACTCTCACACGCTGAGAGGGAGAGCAGAGCATGATCGCGACCCCAAGCATTTGGACGTTGTGGAGGAGTAGGACGCGCAAATACTGAACAAGAGGCCAAAGGAGCAGGAGGAACGAGACGGAATCTAGGTGGTGGTGAAGATCCCAAGAGATGGGACAGACGGGAGGGAGTAGGTTGGGATGGATGGCGGGAAAACAGCACCTGGAAATGCTTTTTAAAGAGGATGGTTTGCAATACAGTAGGTGTCCCATTAAGCATGGAATGCATACATTTAAGGCAACAAAAATCCAAATCGCCATAACTAGTCACCCCAAGCCGGCTGAATACCTAAGGATTTCGGTAACTGCTAGTGCCTGCTATACTCCCATAAGGATGTCATCAATCGTGGTCGCCAATGGAGGTTGCAGGCAGCTTAGGCCAAGTGCACATAAGGTTGATTACTTCTATATGATCCTCTATGTGAGGTAAATACATTATTAACTTATTACCCGCCTGAAAGAAGGACAATATGCGATTGATATAGTGAATAGTAGCCACATGAATTGTCATATGGTTATGTTGCATTGCATAGTACTTCCATATTCATTGCTTGGTATTATTTATTATGTCTTAGCTGGTCAATTGTGTCTCATAAACACTGACTTGTTGTTACAGTACATCCCAGAACAAGATTCGACGTTAACGTCGGAAGGGTTGCGTAGATGTCACATTCATATTTTAAAAAACTTGAGGACAAACAATTTGATATATTTATATAGCACTGAGTTTAATTTTCATGTGTTAATGAATATAACAAGCTAGTTAGTTATTGATAATGGAATAAAGAGTTGGTGTATGATTTAATTGCTAAACTCTGGGCGAATCTATAGAACAATTTATTGTTGTTTAATGAATTAGTTATAAAATCTAGTTAACCAATATGATATTCTGTAACACTGAACTGCCAGGTTCTTGCTCTAGCAAAAGTGTGGTTCAAAATGAGTTGTTTTCCACCTAACACAAATTTCACTTGATTATCCGTGTGTTCTCACGTGGCACCAGCGTTTGGTTTTTGTTTTAGATTTCCAAGTGCCCAAGTTCTGTGCTGGCTTTCAAATTGCCCCATCGTTTTCGGGTTTCTATATACAAATTGTTTCATGCGTCGTCTTTTTCTGGGAGGTGCGCAAATTCTGTTCATCGCTTCATTTTGTTTTGCTCCATCTTCTTTTTCGTGTTGTGTTTCATGCCTCCTCCCTTCTCCCAGTTCGGTTACTGTAGTTTCTTGTTTGCCACTCCCTCCCACCCCGTCATCGCTTCTCCTCCCCCACCAGCTGTTGCCTCACCCTCCCACCTCGTCATCGCCTCTCCCTCTCACCCACCTTTCCATCGTTGCTCCCTCCCACCCCGCCATCCACTCTCCATTCCACCCCACCATCCCCTCTCCCTCCCACTGCGCCGTCGCCTCTCCCTCCCTCCAGCCGTCGCCTCTCCGTTCCTCCCGCCGTCGACTCTCCCTCCCTCCCGCCGTCGCCTCTCCCTCCTCCCCGCCGTCGCCCCTCCTCCTCCCCGCCGTCGCCTCTCCTCCTCCCCGCCGTCGCCTCTCCTCCTCCCCGCCGTCGCCTCTCCTCCTCCCCGCCGTCGCCTCTCCTCCTCCCCGCCGTCGCCTCTCCTTCTCCCCGCCGTCGCCTCTCCTCCTCCCCGCCGTCGCCTCTCCTCCTCCCCGCCGTCGCCTCTCCTCCTCCCTGCCGTCGCCTCTCCTCCTCCCCGCCGTCGCCTCTCCTCCTCCCCGCCGTCGCCTCTCCTCCTCCCCGCCCCTCTTCCCCGCCGTCGCCTCTCCTCCTCCCCGCCGTCGCCTCTCCCTCCTCCTCGCCGTCGCCTCGCCCTCCCATCCGCCGTCGCCGCTCCCTCCCATTCGCCGTCGCCGCTCCCTCCTCCCGCCGTCGCCTCTCCCTCCCATCCCGCCGTCGCCTCACCCTCCCATCCCGCCGCCGACTCTGTCGACAGGTCACGAGCAAGCTGGTGCGCGAGCGCGGGTTTGTCTCTGCACCGTGAATTGCAGGTGCGTTTACCCTTCCCGGTCCTTTTTTCCTCCTTTCCCCCTACTGAAAGTTCCTATATTTCCGATTTTGGTCAGAATGAACGTGTAGGTATCTTCCTATCTTATTTGTAGTTTCTGTGTGTTGATTTGTCGCTTGCGTTGCACTACCATTTGAAGAGGGGGAAGAGGGAGCGCGAGGGAGCGAGAGCGCAGGAGAGTACGCGTGTGAGAGCTAAGGAAGCACTAGAGGGAGAGGCGCGAGAGAGAGCACCGTGCGCGCTTGCGCCGTCGGCGCGGGCGCCAATGGCGCTTGTGCCTTAGCCGCTTGCGCTTAGGGCGCTGGGGCCGTGGGCGCAAGCGCCGTGGTTGCTGGCGCCTAAGGCGCTTGCGCTTATGGCGCAGACGCCGTGGCCGCTTGCGCCTAAGGCACTTGCGCCATGGGCGCTGGCGCATAAGGTGCTTGCGCTTAGGGCGCTGGCGCCGTGGGCGCTGGCGCCGTGGGCGCTGGCGCCGTTGGCGCGGGCTCCGTGGGTGCTAGCAGCTAACGCGCTTGCGCTTAGGGCGCGAGCGCCGTGGGTGCTGCCCCATGAGGCGCTGGCGCTGTGGGCGCTTGCGCCGGGGGCGCTGGCGCCTTGGGCGCGAGCGCCGTGGGTGCTGGCGCCTAAGGCGCTGGTGCAGTGGGCGCGGGCGCCGTGGGCGCTTGCACTTAGGGTGCCGCGCCTTGGGTACGGGCGACGTGAGGGCGAGACTTGGATGTGCGCGTGCACTTGCGGGTGAGTGCGGTTGTTCAGGCAAGGGCAAGTGCGAGTGTGAACGACAGAGCAGGTGCGAGCGTAAGCGCGAGTGTGAGTGCGAGAGAAATTGTGAGATTGAGTGCCCGGGCGAGTTTGAGGGTGAGTACGAGTGTGAGTGTGTGTGTGAGTGCAAGGGGGAGTGCGAGGGTCCGTTTGAGTGTGTGCTAGGGTGAATGCAAGAGTTTGTGTGTGTGTTTCTGTGATTGGCGAAGAAGAGTTGAGAGTACATTACATGTGTTTGAGTGAAGAGTGAGTGCGATGGTGAGTTCGATGGTGGCGGCGATGTTGAGTGCAAGCGTGAGCGCGGGTGTGAGTGCGAGGGTGTGTGAGATGGTGTGTGAGAGCAAGTAGAAGAGTGAGTGCGAGGGTGAGTGCGAGGGCGAGTGTGAGCGTGAGTGTGGGTGTGGGTGTGAGTTGAATTCAAGGGTGCCACCGTGCCGGCGACTGTGTGCGCATGTGAGTGTGAAAGTGTTCGAGGGTGAGTGCAAGGGTGTGTGTTTGTGTTTCTGAGGGTGTGTCTAAGAACGATTGAAAGTAATTGTGCGTTCGTGAGTGGTTGCAAGAGTGTGTGAGGGTGAGAGGGCGATATTCGGGTGCGAAAGCGGGTGTGACTGCAAGTGTGAGTATGCGCATGTACTTCAGGGTAAGTGCGAGGGTGCGTGCAAGTGCATGTATGCGGGTGATATGAGAGCAGGGCAGCGTGACGTAGGGCAGCGTGCGCAGGGCAGCGTGACGTAGGCAGGGCAGGGCAGCGCGGCACTAACAGGGCGGACATTTGTGGCAAACGAGGAATCTATCATGTCTAAGAGGAAAGAATATTCCATCAGCTGTGATTCGTGGATGCGCGTATTTGAGTACGCATTGCATGAGGAAGATAAAAATGACGATCTGGATAACGATACGTCTCGATGCGGCGCAGCTGTGGATATTGGTGTGGAGCTAGGCTTTCACCACCCCGTTCGTTCGATTGATACGTTTCGTTCCGTTGTTACGAGTGACTGCGAGTATTTGCAAATGGAACGTATGCTGAACGCTGAGCAACGTGCAATTGCCGACCACATTGTTCGAGGTGAGTGTGAGCTCGAGTGTGAGAGTAGTTCAAGGGTGAGTGCGAGGATGAGTGGGTGTGCGTGTGAGTGCAAGGCGAGACTGCGTGCAAGTGTGTGTCTTAGGGTGAATGCGAGAGCAAGTGCGAGTGTGAGTGCATGTGCAAGGGTGCGTGTGAATGTCCTTGCGTGCGCGTGGAAGTATTTGTGTTAGTATGATTGGAATGAGAACAAACATGAGTGCGAGGGTAAGTGCCAGAGTGAACGTGTAGGTATCTGTGAGTGTGTCTAAGAAATTTGAGAGTTTTTGTCGTGTGTGAGTGGGTGCAGGATTGAGTACAAGAGTGAGTACGAACGTGAGTGTGAAGTTGAACTCGAGGGTGGCTTCAGTGTATGGCATCATGCTGGTGTAGTCTCTGTGGTGCCACGACTAATACCAATTTACCTCTGTGAGCTGTCAATTTGATAGCTCATGTTTTTCTGTTGTGCTTATTTTGTCTCTAGTGTGTGAGCTGCATTCTCTGCCTTTGTCTTCTTGTGCAGTGCTATGAGGTGTACTCTCTTTGTTTTTGTTGTTTCCTGCTTGGTCTCCTCGCAGAGCACATGAGTTGCATCCTCTGTTTTTGCTTCTTGTGCAGGGCGTGTTGCGTTCTCTGTTTTTACTTTGTGCAGGGCGCGTGAGCTGCTTTGGCGGAGAAGGGAGATGAGGGAGGGAGGGAGGGAGGGAGAGAGGGAGGGAGGGAGGGAGGGAGGGAGGGAGGGAGGGAGGGAGGGAGGGAGGGAGGGAGGGAGGGAGGGAGGGAGGGAGGGAGGGAGGGAGGGAGGGAGGGAGGGATGTAGGGAGGGTAAGGGGTGATTGGCTAGTGATGATTTATTAATAGCTGAATTTCATGATGGTTGTGTGCTGACTATCCGTATGTATCTGTGCTTGTTTGCGTGCGTGTCAGTGAGTATGTGTGTGTGTGAGCCTGTGTGAGATATGTATGTGCAGTCGTGTTGTTTGTATCGTTTGTGTCTGTCTCAAGGCGTGTGCTGAAGTGCCTCGTGTATGCAACTCAGGTTGTGATCGCCGGTGGGGCAATAGCCTTAGCGTGCCAGACCAACCTTTGTTGCATCATCGATGCATTTTAGCATTCTCCCCAAGACACTCATTGTTATGCGTTGTCGTTGTTGTACCAGTACAATGTCGCATGTGCTCGTTTGTGTTTGTTGTAAGGTGTCATGTTAAAGTGTGTCAGGTCTGCAATTGAGGTGGGGATCGCTGTTGGGGCAGCGTTGCTCGCCTTAGCATACCGGATCCATCGCTATTGTAGCACTGATGCATTTTGCCACATTTGCTGCTGTTAAGTGTTGTCGTTTTGCACATGTTCGATACGGTAGATGCAAATACCGTAATTTGCATCCACGCCGACTTTGTTGTCTCGTCAATTGTGTGTGATGTACCGTAAAATATGGCGAGGGTACCAATTGTTTCCATTCGCCATATTTATCGACGATTATGGAATAATTGGTCTCATTTGGTTTCACTTTTTTTGGAGACTCTTGTGTACCAGTGCTGTCATCTCCACACATTTGAAGCACACGTTCTCAAAACGTTAAAGCGAGTGCTTCATACGTTGGGAAAATGACGAAATTGTGCACTGTTCATTCGAGTCGACCGAAAAAAGTGCTACCAAATGTAAAGGGGTTGCTACGCAACCCAAAAATTCTTGTCCGGAAACGGGACCTCCCCGTCGCTGCATCATCACAATTTCGCCCACTTGAATGCAGACGCCTTTGTCCGAATCAGATTTTGGTCCTTGTGACCAAAGTGTTGTCTTTTATCTGTTTCTGGTTGTTCACGAGGAGTACTGGAAAAAATACTTTCAAAAGGTGTTGTGTGTTGACTCATCTCCCTAGTTTTGGACTGGAAGGTAGGGGTGACCCTTATAATTTGCGCAAACGATGGAGCAGAAGTTTGCTCCGCAGGGTTATCTGCCCGACCAGACGTCTCACCACGGTTTTGACCTAGGAAATGCTGAAATGGCTTGTGATGGGATGTCTGACGAGCTCTACCGAACGGCACCCTTCTACAAGCTTTGACACCGTACTCTTCCTGCTTGCGGCCGTTCCGTCCTTCATTCCCGGAGGTTGGGCAAGTGGCTGGGGGCGCTCTGTGCCTGCCCTTCTCTGCTACCCTGCCAGCCACACTTCATCTGTCCCCTGGTCCCTTCCCCCCCCCCCCCCCCGCCACCCCCTTTTCTCCCCTCACCTCGTGCCGTACATATCGACAAGCCTCCCTCCCCCACAAACCTCCTCAATCCACCTGACCTGACCTCACCTTTCACCGACTCTACTAGACCGTATCTCACCTTTGTTCACCGAACCACCCCGGAGAGCTCATCAAATGCGAGGAATCTTCTGTGCCTCCCACCCAAACCAAGCTTCTGTGCCTCCAGCCTGCTGGTCTCTGTTGGGCTCAGCGAAATCTTCGGATCCCTCCCTTCCCCGTCCCCCCCAACCTATCCAAGGCACCGCTTGAAATAAGCTATAGCCGGCTGTCTCAGCAATTTCTGTACCAGACCTGGCTTTCTTCGCTTTGACCGCGTGGAAGACGGGTCTGCTGTCGCGCCTAAGCTGGTAAGTAATGAGGCGACGTTCTCGAAATGGCGTGCATTCCCCCGTGCAATGCGGATCCCTGTTAGTTCGTTATGCCCGCCAACCGCCGTAGTTCTTGCGAATGCTTGACCGTGTTTCACAACGTGTCAACAACACCACGTGTTTCTTGTTCTGTTCTAGGTCGGTTTCCCATGTTGCACGCCTTTATTCCTGGATCTGTCAACTTTACCTCCACTGATGACTTAGTCACGGCTTACCTTTGAACTCACGTCTTTCTATGTTACCGCACTGCATAAATTTCGCCATTATTCGTCGCCTACGTCCCTCGTAATGTAACCTCGTCACGGTTCTCTGATATGTTGTTGTCTCGGCCTCATTACCATTTTCTTGTCGCCCTGTCGCCGTCCTCTGCTCACCGTAGCGCCAGCCCCGGCGTCTGTTCCGAGTATCTTACGTAGCTGCGGCCTCTAGAGCGAGGAGCGGCGGCTGTAGCGGAGTCGGCGCGGCGCCATGGAGAGTTACGGCGAGGACGACTACGAGGACGCGCCCGGATCTGACAGGTGCGTCGCGCGGAGATAACACTGTACGTTCATTTTCGGTGTCGTCGTCGTCGTCGTTGTTGTTGTTGTTTTTCGGTGTTCGTTGTGTGCCTCTGCACATTGTCAGTTACA